TTTAATGTCAATACTTTTTTGTGTGTATTTCTACACTGTGGCTGTTTCTACTTATACTTCAGGAATTAATCAGACTGCTTCTTCCACACTGATGTATCGTTAATGGACATGGATGAGGTTTTTATTTTTGTGATAAACAATGACAGAGCCACACTCATATCCACACACACATGCATATACGACCTGAACCTGCAGCTGTTTGAGGCTGTCTGGAGACTTCAGAGGAGGCCAGAGGTACGAAACTTGCTGAAGTGAAGTTTGTTGTTGTTGTGGAGGCCGACAGGAGAAATGTTGATGTTGATAAAGGCTGATGAGGTGTTGAAATGTTTGTAGCTGTGAACAAGCAAAAATCAGAATAATAACAATCCTACTTGAAGCAGGTTTTCTGTCTGCATGTGAGTAACAGGGGTTAATGTGTGTTTACAGCAGAACTAATTAAACTAAACCTGTAGTGTAAATATGACACATGTAGGTTATTTGAAAGAAAAGTAACTGTGGTCAGTGAGAAGTTCACATCTTCAGAGACATGAATAAGATTTTTTTACTCACCTCCTGTGATGACAAGCTGAAAATCACATGGTTGTAAACTTGTGTCCAGTGTGCACCTGTACCATCCTGAATCAGACTTGTTCAGCTGTGTGATGCTCACGTACACAATATCCTTTAACAGTAAATTCTTTCTTACAAATGTAATGCTGTATCTGCCGCTCTGAGCTGTGTAATCAGTTGTTTCAATGAGAACGTTTCCTTTTTCACATTTGTCTTTGCAGAACAATGTCGTACTTCCTGGGAAATAAAATTTACATTCGACTGTGATGTTTCCTCCTTCCACTCCTTCATAGACGAGAGTTTCAGCGTTGGCAAGTCCAGTGTTTCCATCCTGCAGGTCTGTAGAAAATATTTACAGGAAGTTACCAACTTCCTGTAAACACTGCATTTGATTTTAAATATTGCATTAAATTAAACTGAAACAGATGATTATTCTCTCTAATTCAACAAAACAATTTAAAATAGTTCATTTAAATTCACTCTCTTTGTATTTTTCATTTGAACAAAATCATCCTGGTTCTTCATGACATCGGTACAAGCCATCTGCTGAAGAACAGCTCAGGTAAAAGCTTGAAAACTGACCTCTTATTTGTTTGTATTAAGATCTTGATCTGCTTTGAGGTTTTTGAAATAGTTACTTAATATTCAGAGTTTTCATTCCGTTAACATTAAAGCTGTGCTGTTCCTCCTGAACTCAATGATAAGGTTGTTTCCTTACAAGCTCTAAATGTGGTTTAGTGAGTTGGAAAAGAAGGAAGCAGCACTCTGAACACAAACGAGCTGCTGTCGGTCTGAAAGCAGCTGCTAACCAGGTGACGTGTCAAGGTCGGTATCCCAGACAGAATTTGTTTCCCCTGCGTCGGGAGCGCGCACTGGGCTTTTAGATCACAAACACCTCTAACAATGACTTATTACTTCTGAAATTTTGGAGGTTTTAGCTCTTTATACAGTACAGTTAGAGAAGGATGCAAATAATTATCAGTCAAAATATCCTTGGTTTATTGAAATCATCCAACAAACTAAACGGTAATGTAATGGAGGCGGAGTCAATTGGATCCGCTCTCCGTCCACACCGAATGCTCCGACGTAAGGGAAACAAATTCTGACGGGGATACTTACCTTGGCACACCTGTCAACTCGAGGAGGCGGGGTATGTCTTCATCTCAACAAACTACGCTGTAATTCTGTCATTTCCGTTGACTGTTAAACCTTTACTAGTATGAATGCAGGCTTTTATCTGCTCTGTGAGAACAGTGGTGGACATTGACTCACAGACAACCTCAGCTTCTTCTTTCAGCACTATTTCTGATGCAGTGCAAAACCTGAAAACATTGTTATAAATAAGAAATAAGAAGAATTTACTCACAGAGGAAGATTAAGCAGAACAAAATGTGACAGAGTTTCATCTCCAGGTTCTGACGGCTTAATGGTTAATGCTGCTTCTCTTTCTTCTCCGTTTGCAAACCAGGAACTTCTAACTGTCGCTTCTTGTTGTGGTCCCTCCCTCAAACCCACACTCCTCTGCTTTCACAGGGTTTTTTTTGTCCATTTATTTATGGTTTCGTTTTACATTTTCTTGAAACTTTTTTTCTTCCAAAACAGAGTTTGGAGTTAACTAATCTTATATAACTGGCTGCTGTTTCATTGTATAAAGCAGTGAGATCCATCTGCAACTCACCTACTAAAGGAGCAGTGACACTGACAGAAAGCTCAACACTGAGGGGCTTCCTGTCAAAATAAAAACTGTTTAATACAAAGCTGTGTTCACTCACCTGCCACATGATTAAGTACACTTGTCTAGTGACTTAATTGTTTGATTCTTTTCGCTGTCATCAGAAAATGTCCGGCCCGTCGTTTATCTTTTCAATATTGAGAAAGTTATCCAAGCTGTAAACAACAAGACATTTGGAAGTGTGTGCTGAGGGTGTAGGTGCAAACTCAAAAAGTAGCATCAGATACATGGAAATGAACAGAGCTAGAT